GGCTGTGGTCAGTCCACCCGCGCATTATGCGCGATTGGGCGAGAGAGAGTTGTGCGAATACGGCGACCACAAGCCATTGCACCACCCACACCCAATATTAACAACACAGCCACAACGACAACGAGTTGCCCGAAAGGATCTGCCAGACACTCAACGTTTACGCCTTGGCCGCCGTCTTCTCCTTACAAGAAGACCCAAACCCTCACCCTGGCAAGCACCGAGGTTTTGCCGGGAGGGCTCCAGGTCTCGAAAGCACAACGAGGGAAGGAGCAAGGGAGAGGCGGAAGCCTGGGTTGTGCCGACGTCGGAGACTTTTGGGGAGACCCGAACCTTGATTTTGTGCCTCGAACCGCGCTCGAAGAAAAAAAATAAAATAAAACCTGAACTCTAGCAGCAAAAACAGTAATGTGTGTGTGTGTAGCGGAATAAGCTTAGACATGCAGGGTGGAGAGGGAGCTTGGAGAAGAGAGAGGGGCGCAGAGGGGGTTTGGAGGTAGAGAAGAAGGACGGTGTGACGGTGTTAGTTGGGGGACATAGGGAGTAAGGCAAGGGCATGAAGAGAGGGTAGGAGCTAGAGGGAGACTGGAAAGAGGGAGCTAGAAAGTGGGGGCGTGGTGGCAGAGAGTAGGGCTAACAGTGACTTTTTGACTCGGGAGATTTTCAGGGAACGAGGATGATAACGAGAAATGCAAGGATGAATGAGGGGATTTTCTTGGGAGATAATATGGGAAAGGTATAAGTGTGGATGTGGCCGCGCTTTGCAATAAATGTCAATTGCTGCAATCTTTGTCATGTCAATTCTGCAGTCTTGTTGTACAAAGGGGACACTGTGTTGGCAGCTTGCCTACCTCTGTGTGTGTGTGTGTATAACCGTCACAAAACAACAACAACAACAACAACAACATGATGGTGATGTCGCCGAATCTTGGTGGTCAAAAATAATGGATCGTCAAATAAGGTGTGCTCTTTTAGACCCCCGCCCTCACCTCCACCGGCTTCCCTCCCTCCCTGCCTTGCCAAAGGCGGTGGCAACGAGCGTCGTGCGTGCCCGTGGTCAGGCTGCTTCATGAAGCTGTGATTGAATCGGAAAATTGGAAAAGTAAGAGTAATGAATTCAAGAGGGTCGGTCATACAAAAAGAAACCAGGTGCACAAAAAATGGCAGCAGGCCTCACACCAAAGTACAAGTTAAGCGACTGGCAAATATGGCAGCCGCGTCGCGCGCGCGCGCGCACACACACACACATACAACGTCAATGCTTCATGGTCGCGCAATCTTACACCCGAGATGGGCACGACAGATTGCCATTCGCGTCCAAAGCGTACCACGAAAACGGAAAAAAAAAAAGCGGGGGAGGTACCATCGACGATCGTGACAGATACAATGATGGCTTGTGCACCGATAGAAGCAAAGGGCAACGGCTGGGCAAGGAACGGGATTCTTAGAAGCACATACACATGCAAAGAACACAAACGCACAGCCCCACGTCGCGGGACCTCTTGAATTGTTCGGAGGCAGCAGCGACACTCAAGCCGGGGCACGCTCAACGCGCGCCGGGGCCAAAAATATTCTCCATCGTCTCGTAGGTGTCGTCGTTAACGGCGGCAACTTCTGCATAGTGCGTGTCCGCCTCTCCGGCAACGTCCGAGGCCCCATACAGCTGGGACATCAATTGCTCATGCGCCACAAGGTCCGCTGACGGCTCGGCATCAACTTGCATATAGTCATCGCCCTGTCGCTCCCCGCCGCTCCCCAGCGACCAGGCATCCTCCTCAAAATCGTCCCCAACGCTTCCCGTCACATCCAGGTACTCGGAATCACCGCGCACAACCCCAGATGGGGCCGCAGGCGCATCCCAGGCTCCTGGAGCCCGAGCCACGTTGCTCACGCTCAGGTACTCGCCATCCGATGCCGCCCCGTGTCCGGGCTTCTCAAACCGGGCGAGCCGGGATTGTACCGTTGTCGGCTCGTCATAGTCGGGCTCACTCTCCCCGTCTTCAGCGGCAAAGCCATGTTCCGGCTCATCGTTGACCATCAGGTAGCCCGATTCATCCCCCCCATCTGCATCCTCCGGCCCAGCCTCATAGAGCGGATTGTGTAGCGTCGGCCGGCCGGCATATGCATCCAGATCAAAGTAGTGCCCCTGCGCATCATCGTGCGCCAAAGCCCCCGGCAAATCAAACACATCGGCATACAGGTCCTCCGGCGCATCAAAGATGGGATTGACCACCTCTCGCTGCTCATACATGGGGTTCTCAAACGACTGCAGACGCGTCGCGTGCTCGGCCTTGAGCCCGCCCGGGCCCTCAGAGCGTCTCTGACGCCGCATCACCACAATCAAAACAACCAGCGCCACCAGAATAAGCAGCGCCGCTGCCACCCCGGCAATCGTGAGCGCCCCCCCTTGTGCGCTCGTCCCGCTACGACCCACGTCCGCTGGTCCAACCGTCGGCTCGGGCGTCGTGGCCACACACACACGGTCAGCATATCGGCTAGGTGCCGACACCTCCACCTCGCCGCCACCACACACCGTCACCGGCGCACACTGGCGATCCACCAAGGGACTTCCGTCCGTCACCACGTACTCCTCGCCCGTACTCACATTGCACTCACGCCGCACCCCGCAGACCACCTCGGTCGTCGAAAGCGCCTGCCACGTCGTGCTCGTCGGTGCCATGGTCGTCTGATTGGTGCCATCATTGGTGCCATCCTCCAGCGGCGAGCCCGTCGTCCATTCCGTCGCATTGGGACCTGCAGTCCCCGCATCTTCAGAGCTCTCAAGCACCATAAAGGAGGACGGATACGGACACCGTGCCAACATGGGCAGTCCCTCCGCCCGTGTCACGTTGTCCTTCACCACCACCCGCATAAACGCCGCGTAGTCCTCCACCGAGCCAAACAAAATGCGTACCACAATCGAATCCCCCGCCTCCAGCGTCTCGTCCAGCGGCAAGTAATTGTCTGTCCACACGTCAAAATGCACAAACTCGCGCGGTCCCAGTCCGGCCTCGGTGGCCACCGCCGTCAAGTACTCGGTCATGACCTCAATGTACAGGCTGGTGGTCGATGGAACACCATCCTCATCTGTGCTGCGTCGCACTGCCGAGTGGTTCCCAGACGCTTCGGTGGTGGCTGCCGTGCTTTCAGCGGCGTCACCCGGTGTACTGACCGCCGTCGGCAGTCCACCCGTTTGATGCTCCTTGTTCTCGCTGGTAGACACGGCTGTCAGGCCGTCGGCTGCTGTTGTCGTGGCATTCAGCGTCGCGTTCGTCAACTCCGTCCTCGGCGGCGGCATCGTCGTCGTCGTCGTCGTCGTCGTAGGCAGAGCGAGCTCCAGATAGACGCGTAAAAATCAACCTCAATCACCGGAAGCATCCCG